AAATGTGACAGTCCGGCCCACTTAGATTTGCAGTAACGGCCAACATGCGAAAAATGTTATTTGGGAAAGGCAGTAAAATTGGTGGGTACACATCGAGTTTGATTTGGTTATTTTTAACTCTGTTGAGGAAGCCTCTGGGTCACAGCCTCGCCTGCCCTGTCTGTTTAAATGTTTTAATCCGACCCAGAGCATATTGCTTTAAAGGTTCAGACTCACCCCGAGACTACTGCCTTTAATTATGAGTAGAAACTAGCGGCCCGCCCTCGCTTCGCTTCGGTGTAGAGCTGAAGTGTAGACTACAGTTTTTGCTCTCAGGCTTGTATTATACACAATGACTTTCATCTATGATTCTTCTTATACCTGCATGCAAAGTCTCAGCCCGATCGGTTTAAAATTGACAAAGTTTCATACTAACTTTCATTCCCTATTTTATCCCCTTGGGGGTAGAATTGATCAAAATCCTTTCTTAGCGGATTCCCACGTCATAACATCTACCTGCATGCCAAATTTCAGCCCGATCCGTCCAGTGGTTTGGGCTGTGCGTTGATAGATCACTATGTCAGTCAGTCACTTTTGAGTTTTATATATATAGATAGATAGATGACCTCGAGCCCTTAAAAGTGTAATATAGAAAAAGTACCGCTTGTATGGAAACCCTTTATAATTGACCGTTATACGTGCCTAATGATACATAACGTGTGAAAACATTCACCTGTTAGGTTCTACTCACATTTCTATTATTCAATTAAACTTGTGTACATATACAACCCATAGAGGTGGTTTCGCATGACGACGCTATTAAGTCGATTTAAATTAATTACTTTGTATGGAGTGTATGGAGTCGTGGACGACTTTGTGAACATCATGCTTACACACAATTCAAGTATTGTGTAAGACACTTTATTGTTTGAAAATGGGTATAATTGGATCAAATTTAATATTTAAATGTACATATTTGCTTTTTCCATGGGGACACAACATATGTCGACTTATTTACTTATAGAAAAGTTTTAGCAAATATCGAATGTTTGATAAACTATTTTATAGTGTTTTATATAAACACTAGCGGCCCGCCCTCGCTTCGCTTCGGTGTAGAGCTGAAGTGTAGACTACAGTTTTTGTTCTAGGGCTTGTATTATACACAATGACATTCATCTATGCTTCTTCTTATAGCTGCATGCAAATCCAGCCCGATCGGTTTAAAATTGACAAACTTTTATACAAACTTTCATTCCCTATTTTATTCCCTTGGGGGTAGAATTGATCAAAATCCTTTCTTAGCGGATGCCTACGTCATAACATCTACCTGCATGCCAAATTTCAGCCCGATCCGTCCAGTGGTTTGGGCTGTGCGTTGATAGATCACTATGTCAGTCAGTCACCTTTGAGTTTTATATATATAGATATTAAATTTTAAAACCCGAATATCCTACATATTATTTAATTAAAAATACATATTAATTATCATCTAAAGTAGAATACGTTCCGCCTAATTTTCCGGTCATTAGGGACACGTTTTAATTTTCAATTTAAATGTTCAATTTAGTTTTTTTGAAGTTATACTTCTTTAGGCGCGTTATGAAAAAATGATGAGAGTGAAATTTTAAGATGCGCGCGTATCACTGTAACACAAAATATTAACATAAAGCTAAAGCGACCAACTTCATGCTGTTACTTTTGTGTTTACCGCACATTAAGAAAATCTACCAACAAAATAGAAATAGAATCTCTATTTAGTGGGTGCTAACGACTGCATTGTGAAGGCAAGTTGATCATTGGTGTAGTAGAACCAAAAACCACATCTTTATTTATAGTAATAAAGTAACAGTTATAGGTATTCATATTTATAATATCAAAAGTATTTATTAATCTGGAACAACGGAACCAAAGCGCGATTCAGGAGACTACAGCGCCATCTCTTGACCATTGGTGTAGTAGAACCAAAAACCACATCTTTATTTTTTGTAATAAAGTAACAGTTATAGGTATTCATATTTATAATATTTATCCACATGTTTCTAGTTTGTATATTCGGAATACGTGTTTGAGTTACATACAAGTGCAAATCACATATGTTCTAATAAATTATATTCAGTAGCTATTTTAATTGAATATTTTGATTATTTATTTATTTTTTCAAATTAAAACTGAACTTTATTGACTGTGTCCTTTTCCAGACTTTTTATTAATTTATTGTAATTAATTATTTGCATGCAATTAAAAACTAATTTTAAACGATGCCAAAGAAGGATAACTTCTCACGCGCCTACATAAGTACACGCACCCATTTTTTTAAGGTTTCAATCTACTTACTGTCTCATGTGTGTAGATCTATAAACGTATAGGACTCTTATTGCAAATTCCTGCTGCATACAACATGTGATAAAATGTGTAACATAGGGTCCCGACTGGCCGGTGGCCACTCACATAACATCATGTCATTCACTCATTCACATTCCGGACCTGCTGCTTACTGCCTACCGCATGCGCGTGCGCATGGACGCGTGATCTGTTTCACAGATCGTCAATGTCGATCGAATCACCGTCACACTGCACTCTTTGCCCAAACAAGTACATACTTTTTATTTATTTATTAAAAGGCTTACCAACAATTGTAACACTTAAGCAATTATAGACACGGAAACACTTATATCAGTGTTACAATTAATTATAGGTAAACACCATATTTACCATATCTATATCAAACAGTATGTGTTAAAATTTTACCTAAAATACCTTAACTTATATGTTATTTGTCCAAAAAAGGGTCATTACAAAAACAAAGGATCTAAAATTAAAAATAAACTCTCGGGCACTCAGTCCGTCAAGTTCCTACTAATGGCTGAAGTTATTGCACTGGGACTATCAAAGTGTAAATCAATTTTATGACTAAAACCGTTCAAAATTTTACAGAATCTCGCATAAGGCGAGTTAGCGCCTAAAACAGTTCTTCTTAAAGGAGGGCAGAGTGGCGTGATTGGCTTCCGAGGCATTCTAGAAGGGACATGCAAATTGACAAGATTTGACAGCTGTGGACATTGAATCTTGTTACTCAAGATATTACTTAAAAATTTAGCATCCATGAGAGACCTCCCCGTTTTGCCAGAGAGGTAATTTTCAAAAAGCGCAGTCTATTAATATATGACTTGATTTTTATGACTTTGCCTACAGAATAAATTAAATGCCACAGAAATCTTTTTTGAATTCGTTCAAGGCGTAATGTATGCGTAGCATAGTGTGGTCTCCACACAACTGCAATATTCCAAGATGCGACGGACTAGGCTGTTATATAGTAATATTTTGGTATCTATGCTACTAAACGACTTACAAATCCTAACATTTTGGAAACCTTTTTAGCTATACTATCCATGTGCGAAACAAAAATTAATTTCTTATCATAAATAACTCCAAGATCTTTAATTGTATGGACTTCTTCTACTCTGCTGCTTTTAATAGAGTAATGAGCATTTATGATGTTGTGGTTTCTTGAGAATTTAACGTGATAACATTTATTTGTATTTAAAATCATTCGATTATTGTCACACCATTTTTCGAGGCTACTTAAGTCACTTTGTAAAAGACGAGTATCCTCTAGTCTTAATTGTCCTTAGGAACCTCAAATCGTTCGCAAACATGTTAACTCGAGAAAAGCGGAATAGTATAGAAAAAATGGGTGCGTGTACTTATTTAGGCGCGTGAGAAGTTATCCTTCTTTGGCATCGTTTAAAATTAGTTTTTAATTGCACGCAAATAATTAATTACAATAAATTAATAAAAAGTCTGGAAAAGGACACAGTCAATAAAGTTCAGTTTTAATTTGAAAAAATAAATAAATAATCAAAATATTCAATTAAAATCGCTACTGAATATAATTTATTAGAACATTTGATTTGCACTTGTATGAAACTCAAACACGTATTCCGAATATACAAACTAGAAACATGTGGATAAATATTATAAATATGAATACCTATAACTGTTACTTTATTACAAAAAATGTGGTTTTTGGTTCTACTACACCAATGGTCAAGAGATGGCGCTGTAGTCTCCTGAATCGCGTTTTGGTTTCGTTGTTCCAGATTAATAAATACTTTTGATATTATAAATATGAATACCTATAACTGTTACTTTATTACAAAAAATAAAGATGTGGTTTTTGGTTCTACTTCACCAATGGTCAAGAGATGGCGCTGTAGTCTCCTGAATCGCGCTTTGGTTCCGTTGTTCCAGATTAATAAATACTTTTGATAGGCCTTCACAATGCACTGCATTATCCCCCTCTCAGGGGATAATCGCTTCAGATGAAGCTTGTAAGGCCCTTCAGGCCATAAGCATGAACTACGGGTGTGTTTTAGTCAGTAAGAGTCTGACATAACCTTGCAGCCGGCTGTAAGGTATCCATGAGGATTTCACACCCGCTCCCCCCGCCTGGGAGGAATCATCGATCTTCACAATGCAGTCGTTAGCACCCACTAAACAGAGATTCTATTTCTAATTTGTTGGTAGATTTTCTTAATGTACGGTAAACACAAAAGTAACTTCATGCTGTTAATATTTTGTGTTACAGTGATGCGCGCGCATCTTAAAATTTCACTCTCATCATTTTTTCATAACGCGCCTAAAGAAGTATAACTTCAATAATAGAAACTTAGTAACTTTACTTATGATTATGATCACAGCATCGTACATTATCCCCGGGATATATGTAAACAGTTGCTAACTATTAGAAACAGTTTTAAAGATTATGACGAACTCATTCAAAGAGACCGGCTACTCACATTCTTGTCGCAGGGGCAATCTAGGGTGTGAGAGTGGGGAACCTTAATTGCCTCTTTAATTAAGATTGCTCCTGCGGCAGGAATGTGCGTAGCCGGTCTACATGTCATAATATATTTATTTGGTTTTAAAAATGTATCTGAACTGTAGGACTTATAAAAAAACAGCAACATTTGTTTGATTTGTATATTGCTTATTAAACATTACAATAAACAGTGCTGGTTGCTACAAATAAATGCTGAAAAATGCTTCGAAACTTAAATAAGTAAAGACTCATTTCGTAAACAACAACTGTTATGTTAATTAACACTTTTATTAAAAACACAAAACTTGTATTACGTAAAGTAAAAATTAATTCGGCTAGCAAACAAAAAGAACCGCACATTTTTGCCTATAATTACGTACGTACATTTTGTAAATCTGTCATACCTTTCAATCGATTTCTATCTCGCAAAAGTCAGTACCTTTATTATGAGTTTTACAATTACGAAAACTATGATAGTTTTCGTGAGCTCGCACTCCCACTAAGGGTACTGATTTTATTGTTTACGTTTCAATACAAATAAACAGTGTTTAAATTCTATCATTAAATCATTTGCGTCTAATTAAATTTTAAATTTATTTGGTTACTTTTCATCAAAATGGATATAGAAACATAATTTGTAATTACGACAGCTATGATAGTTTTCGTGAGCTCAAACTCGTACTAAGGCTACTGGCTACTGGATTTAGACCAGACTGGTATTTACAATCAAAAAACCAATATCATTACGAAAATTGTTTATATCTAGCGTTAATTTGATTTATTAGGGCAGTGGTGCTAGTAAAACTAGCATACCCTATTACATCTTCGGCGGCGAACGAGACGCGGCGGACAGGGCGCGCCCCCGGGGCTCGCCTGCACCTACGATATACAAAATATAATATTAATAAAGATATCGTTAATAACACGTCAATGTTGAGCGAAATACCCGATATATTGTTTTAAATATATATGTGGTTATGGGTAGTCATACTCTCTTAAAAATCTCTTCGGCGGTGTCGTGTGAGGCGGGTCGTTACGTTCCCTAAAATATGGTTGAGCGAAGCGATGGCTGGTTCATGCGTCATGCTCGTGAACGGGTGCTGCCAGCGGAGATGAGTCTGCTCTTGCTACATTGGGTACTATTAATCGTTGTATTTAACTTTAATGGTACATTTGTTTTATGCCTAAACAGTGGGACACGGCATTCCTAAACTTTTTTCATTTTTAAATCTGTTTTTTATATTTTTTATTTTTTTTTATAGTTATAATTGTTTTATCATTTACATTTGTAATGGAAAGTGACTTCATGGGTTATCTCATATTGAACTCATTTTTCAAATTGACGACTCTGTATATAATACAGGGAGAAAAAAACAGCCCTTGCTGAGTTTCTTGCCGGTTCTTCTCAGTACAAGGTCTCCCGCCGTAGATTTGCGAACCGATGGCGTAGCTTTTCGACATTCACAAGTGCTTGTAACAGCCTAGACTGAATAAACGATATTGAATTTTGAATGATTTTTTTTGGATTTTTTAAACTTTCATGGTCACTAACATTATAATAAGTTATTTACTGGATCGTTACCTGACTTGAGTTACTCCGTGATCATGGCGCTTGCAACAGTCAATAAATAAATAAAATCAGTATCATATTGCTTAGTGAGTGAGGCTGGAGCTCCATGGGGTAGAGTTATGGGGTTAGCGAGTAAGCAATGAGTAAGTCCATTAGCTGTTATAATGTGCATTCTTTTCAACATAAATTGTTAAAGTCAAAATTAGTTTCTATCAAAAGTGTCCTATACGTAAAAGTAAATCTAATCTCATTTAATTCTATAAATTATTTAAGAACAAAGGCTGAAAACTTAATATACTCTATTGTTATGCACTTCAAGAGTTTATGCCAAGATCCAAATTCATTTTTCCGAAATATCGGAAACTCGCTAAAAACCGGGTACATGGTAACAATCCCGTAAATAACTTATATTACTATAATACCCGATAAATAAAAAGTTTTCATATATTCATCATCTAGGAGCTCGATGGCTCAAGTGGTTAGCGCGTTCGGCTGCGATCGTTGAAGTTAAGCAACTTTCGCAGTGGTCGGTCATTGGATGGGTGACCAAAAATTTACTGTCTCGAGTTCCTCCGTGCTTCGGAAGGCACGTTAATCCGTTAGTCCCGGCTGCATCTGCAGTCGTTAGCACCCACCAATACACACTGGGCCCGCGTGGTGGGTCATGACCCAATCTCCCTATTCCATCCATAGGGAAGGCCTGTGCCCCAGCAGTGGGGACATTAATAGGCTGATGAAGATGATGATGCCTATTAATGTCTCCATTGCTGGAGCACTGGCCTTCCCTAGGACAGGGAGATTGGGCCATTTCATATATTTCATATATTAATAATATTTAATTTTAAATAAAAATAATAGCATCAATTTCAGTTATATTTTTTATTTTTCAAGCATTAAACTGTTTAAATCTAAAGAAAATTTTACTAGAAAAAATCCCCGCGGACCAAGCAGCGGACGGGAATCGAACCCATACCCTCCGCTATCCGGCGGATGCACTGACCATTATGCTAACGCGGTCCCATTGGCCGCGTCGAAATTTTCCTAGCCTTAAGCTGAAAGGCAGCGCCATCTCTTCGCATTGTAGGTAGGTAGGTCCCACAATGTCAAATGAATACTTTTACAAGTATTGAACATTTGAAAGGACTTTTTGGCGGGATCGGGAAGCGTCGCTTTAGCAGTTTTGTTTTTCTTGTTAAAAATTGTGTTGTGGCGGTCTTGTCTTGTCTAATAATGGTGGATTATTGGTTAATAATACTAAGTGTTCGGGAACATTACAAGTGTTGGCAAGTGAAACAAAATAGCGGAAAGTGTCTTTCGACGTTCCCTCAATAAGTCCACGGGGAGGTTCCAGTAAATTCCCACACTTTTACTGAAACATAGGGAAAGGGGGATTGACTTGACTGCCACTTACTTTGACTTGATTTATTACTTTGACCACGAGTGCTATAGTATTTGTAAACATTTTAACTCTTGACATTGGCTAAATGCACAAGCCGTGCAAAGCCATATAGAAAAAAAATGGGTGCGTGTACTTATGTAGGCGCGTGAGAAGTTATCCTTCTTTGGCATCGTTTAAAATTAGTTTTTAATTGCATGCAAATAATTAATTACAATAAATTAATAAAAAGTCTGGGAAAGGACACAGTCAATAAAGTTCAGTTTTAATTTGAAAAAATAAATAAATAATCAAAATATTCAATTAAAATCGCTACTGAATATAATTTATTAGAACATATGTGATTTGCACTTGTATGAAACTCAAACACGTATTCCGAATATACAAACTAGAAACATGTGGATAAATATTATAAATATGAATACCTATAACTGTTACTTTATTACGAAAAATAAAGATGGGGTTTTTGGTTCTACTACACCAATGGTCAAGAGATGGCGCTGTAGTCTCCTGAATCGCGCTTTGGTTCCGTTGTTCCAGATTAATAAATACTTTTGATAGGCCTTCACAATGCAGTCGTTAGCACCCACTAAAAAGAGATTCTATTTCTATTTTGTTGGTAGATTTTCTTAATGTGCGGTAAACACAAAAGTAACAGCTACTGCATGCTGTTAATATTTTGTGTTACAGTGATGCGCGCGCATCTTAAAATTTCACTCTCATCATTTTTTCATAACGCGCCTAAAGAAGTATAACTTCAAAAATTTTTGAAAAAAGAATTAGCAGTAGTACAGTGGTTAGTATCAATATCATTTCACTAATACTACAGCACGGTTTATAAGTCACTCATACATTTGTGAGGATTCTTCTTGTTTACACAGTTCGTATCATTAAATTGTATACAATTTGATGTTTGCTTTACTATGTAATGGAAAGTTTATGGTACTCTTGAGTTCAGACAGATGAATGAAGATGTGTATGATAGAAGCATGTGGGTACGAAGGAAAACAAATATAGTTTAGCATCAGCGGAAAAATCATACCCTAAAGGTGGGAAAATAAGGATGAATGTTTTCACACAGCTCACAGATTTTGATGTCGAGTTGTATATTACAAAAAATATAAAAAAAAAATTAAACCACCGGAATGTAAAAAATAAGAAATCTTTTTTTATCTTTAGTCAAATTATTAATTGGAGTCGCTGCCACGCATGTTTGATAGATCTCTCTGCTTGGGTTGGCATGACACCGATTCCAATAAAATTAACCTTTTTTATCTATAAGTAGTCAAAACTAAAGTTAAATAAAAGCGTGTTAAAAAAAGGTTAATTATTTTTTACTTTTCTGCGGTTATTTTTTTTTTGTTAAATATTTTTTATCGCAGATCAGCTAAATATTAACTACCTGCATAACACCGACACAAAGGTTCCCACTTTTATGTACTGCAAAAACTCGTGTATATAAACAAATAGTAACATACTAGCTATAGCAAACCAGTGAAACAAATGTTCACCAAAACCTGATTTAAAAAAAAAAAGTATTTAATTAATTGAGAACTTCGGAGATTTTGTGTGGTTTCGTTTGAAATTCGTGATTTCTCGAAAACCGGAAGTGCTACGTTACTCAAATCCGGTTTGTAGTCTTATCAAACTATTCTTAACTTATAACTTAAACATTCTCTTTATCTATCTCTTACGGTTTGGCCGCTGAAACAGCACCACAGACGGACGGACGGACTTGTCTAATAGATAAGAGATGCCATTGTTATTAGCACACTCTCCAAAGTTATGTAATTTGCATAACGACAAGATGTGTCTCTAAGTGATGTGGAAAACATCGTGAGTGACATTCACACGAAAATAAGTGATAAGTATGCTAATACGTTCACACCCCGACGAACAGACACAAACAAATGCAAATTTTAAATGTTATCACTCATGAAACGGCATCGTGCGCTAAAAAGTTTTGTATTCGTAATAGACTCACAATTATGTATTGCAGTTACTTTAAATTGTTTTTTTTTGGGGAATTTTAATTTCACCAACTTATTTGTGTACTACTTTTTCGATTTACAATACTTGTAGTACATTTAAATTGTTGATCTAAGACTACAGCGTAATATAGATAAGTAAGTGTTTCAAGGTTTTCCGCATGCCTTGCACAAGATCATAACTACAAAACTAATATAAAGAAAATATAACTAGAAAAAAATCCACGCGGTCCAGGCAGCAGACGGGACTCGAACCCGCACCCTTCGCAATCCGGGCATTCGCACTGACCAATTATGCTACCGCGGCCCTCACGGATCGCGTCGAAATTCTTCTATCCATTCTTAATTGGTCAGTGCATTCGCCCGGATTGCGAAGGGTGCGGGTTCGAGTCCCGTCTGCTGCCTGGCCCGCGTGGAATAGTAGTTATATTTTCTTTAGATTTAAACATCAAGCAGTTACATGCTTTAAAATAATAAAAAATTAAAACTAATATAAAGAAGTCTGTACATCCAAAGGTATTTTTAAGAATTACAATTTGGATTGTAAACCATGCGAACTCTACCTAAAGATCCAGGTTCGACAGTGGTCTCAATATTTACAAGTACATATTAACGTGTGTTAATCAAAATGCTCATAATGAGGGCTATCGCGTATGAATCCGCCGCTAGAGGCGCTAGTGTAGCGTGAGGTCTCCGAAATGTCAAATGTTATTGCTTGTTGGTTGACTACGCGGGTTTATTTCTAATTAAATAATGTTGTGAATAATTGGTAACAATTCGGCTTAATTATGGCAAATATGAGTTATGTGGCAATGAATGTCAGTTATTAAAAATTTGAGCTTAGAAAAATGATTATGTTCCCATTTTTTCCGAATAAAACGGAACTGCGCGTCACTGTGGCATGGCCTATTATGTTTAGGGTATG